TAATAATCCAACAAAATATTTCAAAAAAATGAGTTTTTTTGAAATGACTCATAATTCTTAATCATTTTATTAATAATAATAATAATTATTATTAGTCAAAAAAAAGTAAAAAAAAAAAAAAACATTTTCATAAATTTGTGTATATTATTTTAATGTTGTTACTAATATAAATTCGAGTAGTTTACAAAAATATTTTTATGAAAATTATCTTATATAAATTATTTAGATATAACAGATTTTTATTTAACAAAAAAAAAATTATTAATAAAAACCTCAACCTTTGCGCGCCAATTTTAATATATTTTCAATAACGAATACTTTGATTATAAACAAAAAACCAAAAATATATAGTATAATGATGTATAAAAATATAAAAATTTTTATTTTTAATGTATTATTACTGTTTGGCTCTATCTTATAACTTAAATCATACTAAATAAATTTTCCTTTGCCAAAATTTTTTTTCTTTTCAAATTTTATAATGAGATGTTATCATTTTGTAGGAGAAAATTCAGTTGGATGTAAAATTCTGCTTTGCATTTCTCGTATTAATGGCACCGTATAAGCAACACATTCATCCCAACCAGGTGATCTCCAAGCATTATCTCTTGTATCAGTTCTCGATTGAAAATCTTTGTAACCTGGAAAAAAATAATAAATATTTCAATGTAACAAAAAAAAATCTTTAATCATTTTTTTTTTTTTATAAACAGGTGATCTGACGTACTTCAACCGTCATAGGAACCGGAAGTAAATTTCAACTTACACCAAATATGATGAACGTTATACAGCCTTCCGATTTGTGAAAAAAAACCGGCAAAAGCTTCATCGCAATTTCTTCTAAAATTGATTCCTCTTGCCCAATTATTACCCCATTCAATCATGGTACCTGGCTTCAAAGAGTAGCTCCTGATTTCGTATAAGTTATCACCTGTACGACTTTCTATTTCCGGCCAATAACTAAATTTCAATAGATATTGAAGATGTCTCGCTCTTAAAAATATTCCTCTTTCTTTTTGCAGTCTTACATAGTCCTAATTATAAAAAAAAAGTTCATTTTTAGTTAATTTATTTTAGTAAACATATTTAAAATACTTTTAAGTATAAAAAAAAATTAATTTTGATGGTTGAAAGTTTAAATGTTATGATTGATTAGGATATTAGATAAGAGACGTTATAAAAAACTATGAAACAAATTTATTATTTATTAGGAGGATTTTTAAATAATTATAAATGTTTAAAAAAAAAAAAGATAAAATTTTTAAATAATTAAATAACATTTAAACTTTTTTTTTTTTTTTTTTAATTAATAAATAGGAAGTAAAACTAACTAAAAAATTTTTAAAATTTAGGAAACAAACCGTAATGTTCAGGTTCAAGTTCAAACAGGGACCTAATTTTTTTTTTTTTTTTAGGTTTCAAAAAAATGTTAAAGCTCTGAAAAATAATCAAAGATGATTAAGGAAGTCAACGTGATTTCATTGGGAGTACAAAAGGTGAGGCATTAAAAAAAAAAAAACAAATTTTTTTTGTTTTGGTACCTGGTCTAATGGTAAAACTTTTTGAGCGTTGTCTATTTCAGAGTATCCACCTTTGTACATCCACAAATGCAAAGCTTGATCCATATCTCCTACAAGAACCATCCAAGAACCAACAAGTTGTAGTTTTAAATTTGATTTAGAATGTATTAAATCCACATTTTCTTTGCTAAAAAAAAAAAAGTTTTTTTTCAGCAAAATTTATGACTGCAGTTATTTAATCGAATTATCCAACGGAAAAAACTTGCAAATTTTAAATAAATAAAAAAATTTAATTTTTTAAAATCTTTTGTAAACATTTATACAATTCTTTATATGTTCATATTGTTGTTTTTCTTGTTCAAATGTAAAAAACTTGATTTATATTCAAAGATGAAAACCGAAAAAAGGGTACACAAAATTTTTATTTATGAAAAAAAGGATATTCTATTTTAAAATTGATGTGTTATATATATTTTTTTACAGATAATCAAAAATTCAACTTCAATGTGTTTCTGCTACTTAAACACACAAACAAGAGGTATGTATGGACATTATTAACAAAAAAACTTTTTAAAGGACACTCGAAGACATTGACAAAAAAAAAATTAATATTTGTTATTAATGATAAAGTCATTCCAAAAACTCTTTGAAAAAAATGGAAGTTTGATTCAAAAGCTAATATTTGTCTTAAATTGTTTGATTTTCAATATTTCAAAAAAAAAAAAAAAAACATTTGGAATTAGTTTCATTAAAAATTTAGTTGTTTTTTTTTTCTTTCAGATTTGATTTAATATCTATAAAATTTAATTATCTAATTTTAAATTTTAGGTACTTCCAGTAATTATACTGTACATTATATAGCAAAAACTAAATGTAGTTCTTATTAAAACAAAAGTTTTGACATTAAAATGTTTTTAGAAAATTTTTGAATTTTTGTATAATTTTATCATATCGTAGTTTAGGACCAATACAAGTTAGGGGGCATCATGTTATAATTATTAAATGAAATCATTTTCAGCTTCATTCATTTTTTGTGACATGATTATAACATAGAACAATATTTTACTGACATAATTAGTGTTTGAGAACAATATTTTAAAACATAGCTTTATAAAAAATTTGGAAAAATTTCATTTTGTTACTTACAAATTTTTTAAATATTTATCAACACTATCCGGTTTAATGTTGTGGGTCTGAAGTTCATAAACGATGCCCTTATCAGATAACATTCTAGAATGCGATTCCTTTGAAGGTTCAATGCGGCGAACTGACAATTTGTTCAACCATCGGTCCGTTAAGTCTAAACTCATAGAAGTTGAACTAATAAACCTGAAATTTTTTTAACCCGACTAGAAAATTATCTTTCATGAGGAATAAGCTCTCCCAGAGATTTTACGGATGACACTGCTACAGAGAAAATTAAATGCTTTCCGTACTGTACCTCAACACTTACACGTAAAAAACATGACAAGTAAAAATTCGGCTGATAAATTGCTTCTAAAATAAAAATTCGGCTAATTGCAGGCCTAATACTGCATCTACTACCTTGCATAATAATAATTCATCGAATAATTTAGATAAGAAAATATTCGTGCTTTTCCCAGCATTATTTTGTTGTAACAGTTCTGGAAACTTCTCAGATAGAAACTTTCACGCCAGTTGTAATGAAATGAACACAATAAATAAAACAAACTTTGGGTTTTAAACGCGAATGTTTTCAAACACTAAAGTTTTTTTTTTTTTTTTTTTTTTTTATAAGTGACAGTTTACAGTTAAGTGACATTTATAATAATGAAGAGATGGTGTTTATTCTTTCAAACAATTATTTTTTTGGTCGTTTTGCATAATACTCGTTCAATTTTTTCTAAAGAAGATGAAAGAAAAAAGCTTTTTAAAGAGTCATACTTTAATTATGAACAGTTAACTGATTATTTGCACTATATGAGTGAAAAATATTCAAATATAATTAAATTACATAGTGTTGGAAAGTCAGTTCAAAATCGAAATTTATGGGTTGTTGAGATAAACACAGACGCCGAAAATCGGTCTCTTCTAAAGCCCATGTTTAAATATGTTGCTAACATGCACGGAGATGAAGCTGTGGGTCGACAATTGTTGGTATTTTTACTAGATTATTTAGTCGAAAATTATGGGAAAGATTCGAGAATTACTAAATTAATGAACGAAACTAATATATTTTTAATGCCGTCTGTTAATCCTGATGGATTTGAAAATTCTCAGGTACAATAAATTTTAAATTAAAAAAGGAAAAACACTTTTTTAAATCAAAATTAAAAACTTTAATATTTATAAAATTTTAAGAATTAAGTATGTAATTTTTTTTAAAAACTGTTGTTTACTGTTTAAAATGGTTTTAATATTTATTGAAAATTTTAAATATATAAATTCAATTTTTACATATGAAATTTATGCATATAAATTGATTAATTGAATTTTGAAAAAGATTATAATTAAAAATTAAATATTAAGTGAAATGAAAAACATATGCTAATTTTGACTTTATGAATATCTGTTATATTTATCTTTGACAGTTGCAATAAAGTTTTAAAATTTTTTCTAAATTTATAAATCAGTTTATAATTGTTAAATTTTTAATATGTAAAAGAATATAATATATGTTCAGATATATTTTTCAGGAAGGAAATTGTGACTCTTTGCCTGGCTTTGTGGGACGAACAAATGCTAATGGAATTGATCTTAATAGGGATTTCCCTGATCAGTTTGACTATATTTTTAAAAGACCATCAATAAGAAAATATCAACCAGAAACCTTGGCCATGATGAAATGGATTGTTCAAAATCCTTTTGTACTGTCTGGGAATTTACATGGTGGTGCTGTAGTTGCTAGTTATCCATTTGATAATGCTCCGTAAGTTTTTAAATAATGTTTTTTGTACATGTCATGTTTAACTATAATAAATAATTTTTTTTTATATTTTTCATGATAAATGGTATCTTGTTCTTAATTTTAAAATATTTTTTATCTTTACTTTGTTTTAAGTGTAATGTTTTTTTTTACTTTCAAAGAACATAAAATATTTGCCATGTAAAAAACATTTACATTTATTTTAAAAATGTTGCAAAATATTTTATTAGGTATTTTTGCTTTTACTCTTTTTTTTTTTTGGCCAGTTTAGTGAATGGCATTTTCACTAATGTCAAAAGGTTATACCCTATTGATCTATAGATCTAATGAAAAATGAATTTTATTAAAATTTATGTTTTTTTCATTTTAAAAATTATTATTGACATTTTGTTTATAAAAATTAAAAAAGGCATATAAGGACTTGAGGTGATTTTTTTATACTGATTTTAAACTTTAAACTTTTGCATATTTTCTTCATTTCAAGGATTGACTTTTTAAACATTTTCTTTTACTAAAAATCGTTTGTGATTTCTTATTCAGAAATACCAAAAAAAGTTCAATTCAAACAAACCTACAGGTTTAAATATCAAATGTTATAACAATAATAATTTTATAATTAAATTTTAAAAACAATGAAAATTTTTTAAAATAATAAGTTTGATTTGAATTTTTTTTATTTAATAAAATATTTTACATCTTCCCTTCCCACATAATTTTTATGCTTTTTTTTTAGGTACACTAATATAAGCTGTTGTCAAAAAAGTCTTACAGCAGATAATCAATGGTTTTTATTTGCAGCCAAGGAATATGCAAGACACAATTCTGTTATGTCAAAGGGTGCTTACTGTTCTGGAGTAAAACGTTTTCCTGAGGGAATTACAAATGGAGCTTATTGGTATTTTGTTTCTGGTTTGTATTCTTGAGAATTATTTTTTAAAATACTTTGATTAAGGATTAATTTTTATTCCCAATGAACTTCTGAAATTAAATGGTTAGAAGGATACTTGCACTTTAAGTAAGGGAAAAGTATTTTCAATTGGAAAACAATTTTACTTTTTTCTTACTTTAATGCTAAGCAAAACACATTAAAATAACTAACCAAAAGGGATTTTTTATTTGTGTGGAAAAAAATAATGCTTAAACTTTAAAAGAAAAAAAAAATTTTTTTTACTAAACATTTTATTAATTCTTCAGCTCTAGCTTTTTTATTATGTAAAATCAAATATTTCTGTCATTTTTTAAATAGCAAAAAAGCATTCAAGACTCATCAATAACTATCACATCACTTTACTATACCGATATATATCAGGAACCATTTTCTTCTTATACTACAAAATGTATGATTTTGTGTTGAAAACCTGAAAATCAGTCGGGAAATTTTTATTATTTGTTTTAAATGTTTTTTTCCTTTTGCAAAAAAAAAAAACTTATTAATAATAATATTGAACTTCAATTTTTTAATCTGTAGCTAACAACTTTTTTTTTGTTTATAAATGTTATAATTTTAAATTTTATTAATTTAATTATTCCATGAAAATTTTTTTTTTTTTTTCTAATTAGAGGACGATATTTTTAATAGTTTAGTAAAAATTAATTTATAAGGAGATGAAGTTTAAATACATTCACAAGAGTTAGATAGTTGACTGTTAAAAATAAAAAAAATTCAAGCAAAGTTTAATAAAATATTTTTTAAATGGTGATGCTACTGACAAACAAGTAATAATTAAAAAAAAATTTTTTTTTTATTTCATGACATTCTGACGTTTATTTGACAATTTTCAGGAATTTAAATGACACTTGAAGCATTGCCTTTATAAATGAGAAATATTTCATTCAAGCAATAAAATAGGTAGGTAAGTCTTATATTCAGCCTCACCTTTATTGTCATCAATTGTATGTGTGTAGAAAATCAATTTATAAAAAAAAAAAATAATAATAATAATAATAGTAAAACAGTTGTAATATTTGCATGAATTAATTAATTTATTGTATTTTTAAAAAATTTTATTTTCTGTAACTAATTACTAAAATACATTAAATAAAATTGAATTTGTATAAATGAAAATGCGTTTATAAAATTTTTCATGTTTTTTGTTTTTTTTTTTTTTTTCATAAAAACATAGATTTAAATATGTAAAGTGGAATTGTTTTAAAATTTAATAATTGTTTTGATTTTTGATTTTTTTAAAAAAAAATTTCATTTTGTTAATATTTTGTTTATTTTTAGGAGGAATGCAAGATTTTAATTATATTAGATCAAATTGCTTCGAAGTTACATTTGAATTAACTTGCTGTAAATTTCCACTTTCGACAGAATTAATAAATGAATGGAATTTAAACAAGGAATCATTGATATCGTTTATGGAATTGGTTCACAATGGGATTAAAGGTACAGCAATAGTTTTCCCACAATATTCAGTTTGTTTGTTTTTAAAATATATTAAAGTATGTCTTATTATTTTAGGTGTAGTTTTAGACGAAGATCAAAAACCAATTGAAGGAGCTCGAATTATTGTTAAAAATTTAAATCATACTGTTGTAAGTACCGGAAGGGGAGAATTTTGGCGTCTTTTAGTACCTGGAAAATATGAAGTTGCAGCCGATGCTCGAGGATATCGTCCCAGTGACCCAAAAGTAGTAAATGTAGAGTCCGATAAGCCAACTATCGTTAATTTTACACTTTACAGAAAACCAGATGATGGTAAGTAATATTCAAAAGTTTATTTTTTTACAACTAAATTTGCTTCTCAAAATATTGTTTATTTTTCTTTTGATATCACTTGTTATTCATTTTTTTAAAAATATAAATATAAAAATATTAGTATTTCATAATCGTTATATTATATTTTTATAATCGTTTATAAAATTCCTGGCAATTTAGGTTTTTGAAAGTTTTTTTTTTAAAATTATTATTAGATTAAAATAATAGCATCTTTTTTTTTAATAATTTTTTTTTTAACAGTTGAAGGAACTTGGAATATATATTATATTTTAAATACTAAAAATATTTGAAATTTATAAAAATAATTTGTTGAAATTTTTAGAACTATCACATTCAATTAAAAAAGTTGTTCATCCATCCTCTGCAGACCTCTTTGGGTTTTTAATTCCTCCTGTATTTGAATACCACAATTATGAAGCTTTGGAATATGAATTAAAATTATTATGTAAAATGTATCCAAAAATAACTTATTTGTACAGCATAGGACAAAGTGTAGAAGGTCGAGAATTATACGTATTAACAATATCAGATCAACCTAGAATCCACGAACCAGGTTAATAAATTTTTATTTACTTTAAAGGACTTTAAATAAATTACTTTGTGTATTCAGCAATTGATATTAATATTTAGGAGAACCGGAATTTAAATATATCGCTAATATGCATGGAAATGAAGCTGTTGGACGAGAGCTTTTGATTTTATTGGCAAAATATTTATGCGAAAATTATTTAAAAGACGAAAGAATTACACGAATCGTTAATAATACAAGAATCCATTTGATGCCCTCCATGAATCCTGATGGTTTCGAAAGAGCACATGAAGGTAATTTGTTTAAAACTTATTATCGCTACTAAATGCCTAATTATGCCTAAAAGAAAATTACTCTCGCTAATTGGTCTTAATTTAAGTATTTATTTTATTGTTTCACATTTTATAATTAGGAGACGAAGACGGTTTAATTGGTCGAAGAAATGCCAACAATTACGATTTAAATAGAAATTTTCCCGATCAATATGGTACGACTAAAGAAAATGAAAAAACTCAACCAGAAACTGCTGCAGTTATTAAATGGATTCATTCTTTACCTTTTGTACTTTCTGCAAACTTACACGGAGGAGGTTTAGTTTCAAATTATCCTTTTGATGATGTACCGAAAGGGAAAAGAAAGGGTCCTAATTTTTCTCCTGATAATGATGTTTTCCAACTGTTGGCACGGGTTTATTCAAACGTAAGTGAATATTTAAGAAAAATTATTGGAAGATTTTTAAGTATTAAAGTCTTTTTTTTTTTTTTTATGTAAAAATGTTGTATTCTAGTCTCATCCGACTATGCATCTAGGTAAAGCGTGTCCGAGATATCCAAAGGAAGCTTTTAAAGGAGGAATAACTAATGGAGCTAATTGGTATTTGGTAAAAGGAGGCATGCAAGATTATAATTATATTCATTCTAATTGTTTTGAATTGACAATAGAAGTAGGATGTTTTAAATATCCCAATCATACTGAATTATCAAAATTCTGGATTCAAAATCGTGCTCCTTTGATTGCATTTATGGAACAGGTATTTATATTAATGTATATTTTTAAACTACATTCTAATAAAAATTATAAAATTAAAAATGATTCATTTATTTTGATTTTAGGTTAACAGAGGCGTTCACGGATTTATAAGAAGTTCTGAAGGTAATCCAATTCATAAAGCAATTTTGACAATATCTGGTATTTCTCATAAAACAACTTCAGCAAAAGATGGCGACTATTGGCGGCTACTTGCGCCTGGCACATACAACATCACTGTAACTGCTCCCGGGTATATTTTTTATTTTATACATTTCATTTTTAAAAATGTTTTATTAGAGTAGTTTAATAATGTTTTTTTTTTCTTTTACAGGTACGAGAAGTTAACGGAAACTATTTCTATTCCCGATACAAATACAGGAATATCTGTAAACTTCACAATGGTAAGAGACGATCCTAAGGAGTGGTCATACGCAGAAGATTTTGATATCAGTCAAAACGTTTCTCCTTTACAAGAAAAATATTTAAAACCGGAAGATTTGTTTCGGGAGTTACAATTTTTAGAATTGCTCGATTCTTCTTGTACGGAACTTTTCTCTTACAATAAAATGGACAATAAAATTTTACATCATTTGAAAATTACTCATGAGGTAAGTAAATATATTTATTATTAAAAATATAAAAATTTCGACCCGTGATTTAAATTAGTTTAAAATAAAAGATACCAATAATTAATTATTTATGCAGATCGGTTCTCCCGAAGAAGAAAAATTTCATATCGTCCTCTTAGGAGATTTATATACAAGTGAATCAGTAGGAAGAGAAATTTTAATTAGATTTGCAAGACATTTAGTATATGGTCATAAATCTAAAGATACGGAAACGATTGAAATTTTGCAAAAATCTGTACTTCATATACTTCTTAGCGTGAGTAAAAAAAATTCAAAGGATTATTATTATTATTTTTTTTTTTCGTTAAAACCGTTAAAAATAGAATTTTGAACTTTATTACTGAACTTATGAGAATATTATAATTAAATTACTTTTAATTTTAACTTTTTAGGCGGATTCAAATTTTGAATTTACAAAGGAAAAAGAATGCAATGATGAGAATCATAATTTAATGGAATATTCACATTTGGAATATATTCAATTTTTAAAATCTTTATTCGAAATAAAAAATTTTGATGTTGGATTAAGTGTTAGAGGTGGTGGATTTTATTTAAAGTGAGATTAATATCATTTGTTACCTTTTTCCCGCCATGTTTTTTTTTTTTTTTGTTTTTTGAACAAATAGAAGATTGTAATTAATATGGTTATTTAAAAAAGTTTTCTTTTTAATATAAATTACATAAAATTTTTCAGTTTTCCAACGTTAGGGGTTAAAGAATCAACTCAGAAAATATTTCAAAGTTATTCCCTTCGTTTTTATGAAAAAAATGACAGACTTCAAAATATCGATTATGATGATGAAAAATGTTCACACGTATCAAATTCTAAAAAAAAAAATGTTTTCGAAGTTTTATATAGAGAATCTGGAGTACCGTTCGTAAGTATTGTTTTTATTATTATTATTATTATTATTATTTAATCATCTTTAAAAAAAAAAAAAACAATTTTAATATTTTTTATTTTCAGGTATCTGCTCACGTTAGCTGTTGCATGCAACCGTTACCATTAAAATTAACAAATATATGGAGAGAAAATCTTAAGAGTTTAATAAATTTTGTAAAAGTAGGTAATCAGGGTATAATTATACAGGTGGTGGATGAAAAAATGGATCCCATTCGTCACGCGCAAATACACGTGGACGTTTTTGAAAAAATAAAAAATGTTACTTTTAATTTTGCTTTTTTCAAAGCTTTGGTTCCGCCGGGAAAATATTTTATCGAGGTTAGTATAAATACTCACGTAATTTATAATTAAATTTAATTAAGAATTTATTAATTATTATGGAAACGTATCCAGGTTTTTGCACAGGGATACGAAAGAAAGACTTTGTCGGTCAAGGTTGAAGAAAATGTTATATTTCGAAGCGTGGTTACTTTATATTTGAACAAAGGAAAAAATCCCGACGGAAAACAGGATAATTTTTATAATTCAAATAATTTGTACAAAAATCAAGAGGGAGACTCCCAAATATGGGGTATGCCTCGTATAGCATTTATTATGTTAATTAGTAAGTAAATTATCAATATTATTATCGACGAGTCTTCATGTTACTTGTCAGAGTTTTTAAGCATTTATTCCTTGTCCCTACTCTTATTTTTTTTTTATTTTAGGTTGGTTGACATTTTTATTATTTTGTTTAATAATCGGAACAATAGTATTCTGTGAAAAACATTTTAAACGACATCGTTCCGAATTTCGTTTTACATTTTTACCCGAATCAACATCTTTTAACGATTCCGAAACTGTTAGATTTACAAAGCCATCATCTGGTAAAAAAAAAAAAAAAAACAAATTTTTACTTTTGTTTTCATTTTATTTAATTATTTGCAATAAAAATTAAAATGATTGTCGTTTTTTTTTTAAATTAAAGGCTCTTCAATGCCGTATTACGATGAAGACTACGATAATGAGACGGAAAATTCTTCAGAAGAGGAAGACATATTGTTTGATGTCAATGTAAATTCATAGATTTTTTTTTTTTATTTATTTTTATTTATATTTTTATACGTATTGACGACTAAGTTTAGATATAAAACTTATGATGTACAATTGTTTTGTAATAATTCATTTTTAATTAAATCATAATTTATTAATTTTCATTATTGAATGATTATGTCAATGTTATTTGAGTCCGCTTCCGTTTCCTTTATTTATAAATTTATTATACGATTAAATATTATTTTTAAATTTTAAATAAAAAACGGTTGAATATATTTGTAAAAATTATTTTCGAACGTTATAAATATCATGATGGAAAATTTTATTTTTTTCAGCTCGCATTTTTTTTAATTTTAAAAACTCATTGGACTTCCGGATGTATAAAACGAAGTTTTGGCGCCATTTTCTAGTAAGTATTTTCTATTTTATCTTTTCGACACTTTTTTTTTAAGCAGGTAAAAGTTGTTTATATTTTTATATGAAAACCTGTAGAAAATTTCGAAACAAATTTCAGAATAATTTTTAGCGTAAAATTAGAGAAATCGCGATAAAATGCCTCTACGTCTTATTACCATTTAAAAAAAAAAAAAAAACGAATAAATTTTTTATTTTTATTTTTTTTTTTTACGATCTATTTTTAGAACATTTTTTTGTCAGTTACGCAAGAAACATATTCTTAATTGTAAAAAATTATTTTAATAAAACATTTTTGTATTTTAATCTTATTTATTTTTTAATACTTAATGATTTTTTAATTAAATAAATATCATATATTGAGTTGTTCACTATAAATCATTTTAAAAATTATTTTTAAAACACGTATTCAATATTAATTTTCATTTTTTAATTTCGATTTAAAAGATTTTAAATTTTAAAAATTAATCAAAAAAAAAATTAAGATTCCTAATAAAATGCTTTTCATTATTAATAATCAACAAATTTAAAAAATTTTTTAAACACTAAAGAATAATAAATTAGAAAATGTTTGAATTTAATTTTATTTGGGCCTTAGGTTTAAATGTAAAAACAACAAATTATTGATACATTAAAAATAAAACAGTTGTTGTTGTTATGAAAATTAAATTTTAAACCTATTGTTAATTAATTTTATTTTAAAATATTTTTTTTTTTTACATATAGAAGCATTAATGTGAGTTTGAAATGAATGAGTTAGAAACAACAAAACAATGTATGCATTGGTAAGATAATTAGATTAATTGTAATTTTTTTTTTTTTATTAAAATTTTACCGAATTTAAAACTTATTTCATAGGTTTGACGTATTTACCGACGTCTTATAAAAACTGTTAAGAAGTACATAATTTCACTTTTAAAAAAAAAAAAACTTGCCATTTATTGTTATTATTTTTATTAACATATAACTATATTTATTTGACTTCTCTTTCAGCAAATCAAATATTTTGACGGATAATTATTTAACACATTCAATACATTGTCAAAGATTTTTTTATTGTTGTTTAAAATGTAAATTAATTGTTAAACTAAGTGAAAAAAACTGAACATGATGATAATGAACATAAAATAATTAAATGTGATAAATGTTGTGCACAAATTGAAAAATATTATTTAAATTATCATTTGTTAAATGAATGTTTATTTAGTAAGTTACATGTACAAATAATAATAATATTAGTTAGTGTGTATGCATAATAACTAATTTGATTTTAATGTTAATTTATATGAATTTATTTAAAGGAAAAGTTAAGTGTAGCATTTGTGATATTGATGTAGTTGTCACTGAAATTAACGAACATGAAGATTATTGTGGATCAAGAACAGAAAAATGTTTGTCTTGTGAAAAATATGTTATGCTTAAATATAAAACACAACATATAACTTCTAATCATGTATTTTTTAAAATAACTGATGGTGAGTTTTACTATAAAACAAAAGAAAAAAAGTATTTAAAAAATTACATTTGATTATTTGTAATTTTAAATTGTTTATAACTTATGAATGTACATATAATAATAATAATATTGTTTTTTAGAACCTGGACCATCACCATTGTGGAAAAATGGAGTAAGAACTTTAGGAGACTTTTTGCCGAATTCATCAAAAAAACAGAAACATAACAAGTTGTCTCATAATAAAAACAAGAGTGGTAAGGTTTGTATTTAATAAAAAATATTCATGTAGTTGAATTTTGAAAAATTGTTTAAATTTTATTTTTAGATCTCAAAGAAGTTTAGTATTCAATTTAATTTATGAATAAATTATAAGACATATTTTGAGTGAGTGTTTTAAAAATATAATTATTCAGGGCATAATAATGAATAAAACTTTTTTTTAAATTTTTGAGGATATTATTTTTTATAATAATAATAATAATTATTATTATTACACTACTACAAATTGACAGGTTTAAAAATACAATTTGATTTGTTTTTCATCTGTTATAATTTTTTACGCATATTTAGAATTTATATATTAATAAATTACTTCTACTCATAAGTTTTTAATTATAAATAATTAAAATAAAAATTTCTTATTTATTGAAATTTAAATTAAATTTCAATAAATTTAAAAGTTTTTGAAATATGCTGTGCATATAAAGAAGTAATAAAAAAAAAAAAATTTTTTTTAATTTCTGTCTGTGATGTAATTATAATAATTATTGTATTAATCAAAATGTTTAATAACAAAATAAATATAATTATTTATCTAATACTTTCCTTTTTGTAAAATTGTTAAGTATATACTCTGTCAAATATTTACTTTATTAGTTTAAAATAGCTTGAATTTGTAAGAAGTTATTAAAAT